TCTTTTCGTAATCGACCCTGTAATTGAGTGAGCTGAGAAAACACTTACTCCTCACCTCCTTCCTCTTGAGCCGCATGTGGGGAAATCAAGACGTAGGAAGTTAATTTTAGCAGCTGTCGGCAGATGACATTTTGATTAGCGTATCAGTCACTGGGCTTCAAAGCCATAAATGTAATTGTTGCACTGCCAAAGATTCTGCTGATGGCTCCTAAACAAACAAAAGTAGCTGCTAATTAGTTTACCCACAGCATTGGCACCAGTTCAGCTCCATTCATGGACTTGTGATTGGTTCAGATTGTCAGGATGACTTACAATAGGTGTGCAGAGTAAATCAGGACCAGCTGCTTCTCAGGGCTGTCAGCCGCCATGCTTCCCTTGCTCTTTACATTAAGGCTTCTACATACCTGCTGTTCACAGATTAGTCTATCTTATCTATATTACCTATAATAATGCCTGTGTATATATTGAATGGGTAGTTATAGTAACCAAGTCTTTAATTCATTTATATCCTTGAGACTTGTGGTCCTTAAAATGTTTAAGTTCGGCTCTCCTGTGTGAAGATTGCAGTCGTGAAGTCATTTCAAGTTAAAGTTTCCATTACAAATTTACAATTTGCTCGAATTAATGAGGTGTCCGATTAACTAATCATTTGAGTTCTAGTTAAAAACTAAAAGTATTTACTGTAATGCAGTAAAATGTCTTTAAGTAATTGGCTTTAACACACTGTTATGTAGCGGTAAACGCTATCAAAAAACACTTGAAACCCACAGTTTGTCCACAGTAGACCCTCCGTCATGAAGACACTGAGTTTTATGTTCTGTGTGGTGTTCAGGGACAGCAGGAGGAAAAGCTTCCTTTAGTCTGTACAGCTGCGCCGGCGAGGGCGTCATACTCCAGCACGATCCATACAAGCTGAACGGAGAGGCGTCGGACATCGACAAGCTCATCAGAGATACTAACGACATCAAGGTGGGAGGGGCTTTGATGTGATGATGATGATGATGTAATTATTCAGGCCCTTTATCCTCAGATAAATAACTCAGAAGTATTACTCACTGATCCTTTTTGATCCTAACGATTCTTTCTTTAACACGTAGTTACCCATA